TAGATCAACACTGTAAGAAGTTACAAACAATCACTGAAGTGTAGATCTCACTTTAAATCAACCTGTAAGATGACTACATTCTAAACCAGTCAAAGTTTAATTCAGCTGTTTATAGAAGTAAAATGATCAGTGAAATTGTCCAAATAAAAATCTGTTCAATTTATATAATTTTATTGTAAAAATTCTTATTTAAATCAGTAAAAATACTACACTGCAACACTACAGTAACTGTGTTCAGCCTTTTAAAACTAGCAATCAATTCACTAAAGTAGTTATTTTAAAAAGTATTGAAGTTTACTAGACACTTCAGAATATTAGTCAGAACCTCTAAACATTAAAAGGTGACAACATTTTCTTTCACATTCTAACACTAACACTGTAACAATGATGCATAAAGGGCAGCCTTGGCTGCAGTGACCACAAAAAGGTGGAGCTCAAGATCCTGAAGACAGTGAGAAGGATGCACAGCGAGCTCACTACCCTGGACTTCAAGAGAGCAGACTTTGGCTTCTTCATGGACCTGATTAGTAAAGTACCATGGAGCAAAGCCCTGAAGGGAAGAGGAGCCCAAGGAAGCAAAAAAGCCAGTTAATATTCAAGGATTACTTACTCCAAGCCCAGGAGCAACGCATCCCAACAAAAAAAACAGTCAGGCAAAACCAACAGGAGGCCTGCATGGATGAACAAAGAGCTCCCAGACAAACTAAAACACAAAAAGGAGCCTACAGAGAGTGAAAGCAAGGACAAGTAGCTTGGGAAGAAAATAGAGAAATTTTCCAAGCAGCTATGGATCAAGTTAGGAAAGCTAAAGTCATGGTAGAATTAAATCTGGCCAGGGAGGTCAAGGGTAACAAGAAAAGCTTCTATAGGTACATTAGTGATAAAACAAAGACTAGGGAGAATGTGGGTGTGTCCGGAAGGAAACAGGACAACTGGTTACCCAGGATATGGACATGGCTACAGTACCGAATGACTTTTCTGCCTCAGTCTTCAGCCCAGCAAGAGCTCAAGCTACACCAGGCAAAGGCAGGGACTGGGAAAACAATGAGCCATGCATGGTAGGGGTAGATGAGGCTCAAGACCATCTAAGGAACCAGTAGGTACACAAGTTCATGGGACCTGAGTGAACTGCCAGATGAAGTTGCTAAGCCACTACCCATCTTGAGAAATTGTGGCACTGTGGTGAAGTTCCCAATGACTGGAAAAGGGGAAACAAAATCCCCATTGAGAACAGCCCTGAAAAAAAGAATCTGCAGGTGCTGGTTGATGAAAAGTTCAATATGAGCTGGCAGTGTGTGCCTGCAGCCCAGAAAGCCAACTGTGTCCTGAGCTCCGTCAAAAGAAGCATGGCCAGTAGGTTGAGGGAGGTCATTCTGACTTCTCTTCCACCTCATGATCAAGACTCACTTTCTCCTGTCACACTCTAAAGTTTTATCTGAACCACAGAAGCTGCAAAGATTTACATCCCACTGACTTTACAAACAGTTAAGGGACTATTCAGAGAACAAGAAAAAACAGTGGGTATACAAGGCTCTGCAGAATTAGACCACTCCCCTAATCCCTAAAAGACAACAGCCTGGCTGGCAACAAGCTTCAGATTATTTCAGCCTAGACTAGGAATCTATGTAAATGCACAAAATGTTAAACAATTATTTTATTTAATTTAGTTTATTATGATTAGAAAATCTTGGCAAAGTCCTATTATTCCTTTGTTGCAAAACAATACAAAATATTAGGTTTTTTACACAAACTCAAAAAGAAAATCACCTACTTACCAAACTAAGTAACAAATAATATTTTAGAAATTAAAGCTAAATAAAACTTACTTGTGATACTGTTGTGTTTTTTGCATTAGCTTCTCTGGGAGTCCATCTTCATCATCAAATTGCTCCATTGGTTCCACAACAACAGGTCGAGGTGTTCTGGAAGACAGTTTCAATTGAATGATTCAATCATAAATGAAACAATTAAAAGTTATTTTAGTATTTTGATAAACACTTCTAAAAGCTAGTATGTTAGCTGTAATTCCTGTGTCTTGCAAATTCTTAAATTATCGAATTTCAGGGAATTCTAATTTTAAGAATTATCTTTGGAAATAATTGTTTCTACACCCAAAATTGTTCTTCTGCCTAGAAACCAGTTACTTGATGCAGTTGTTTCCTATAAAGCATTAAAGATTGCAAAAAATAAAAACTCAAAACCACCTACAAACAATTACAAAATATTTAGGAAGGAACTACCTTTTTCTTTTCATCAGTAAGGCAATACAAGTGCCATGACTATATTAGGAAAGTAACAAACAAACCCAAAATGAAGCAATACAAACTATTCATATTTTGCTAATTCATCTTTGAAAAGATCTTTCTTGAATTATCATTATCTGTGGTAATGAGAGGCAAGGATTAGCCACTAGGATAGCAGTATAAGGATCCTGAACTGCGTAAAAACCTTTCTGCATCAGTCTTGGGAGAATACCCTGTAATGCACACCTAGAGCTCGAAACACAGTCTTCAAAATGTCAGTGTTTATTTATTCATTCAAACTTTTATTTCACTTTACAGATCTTTTCACAGAAAAAAAAAAATCAATGTCTTTTAACAACATCAATAGCTGAAAAAGAAAACTGGGCATTGAGTGCAGAATGAAAACAAGTCTGATTGCTGGAAGCTCTGCTACTTAAATGCAACAGAACGATTACGTTAACAAGTTATGATTTAAAACAACATTTTAAAATCTCTACATTAATGTTTCAAATGCCAAATTTTGATATATTTAGGTCACTAATTCATTTTCTTCTCATCAGACAGCAATTTTTCAGCTAAAGATGTAAAATTTTAAATTCTGGAACAAAACATCAAGAACATCATGGCTGTAGATTCATGCTAATTATCTTTGCAACTGTACATCAGGGAACACATCAGCCATCTAAGCAAGATAAAGATCCAAGTGCTTTTTATTTACTCAGGCCATGGTTAGACGCTTATATCAATCCAACAAATCTATCCAGCTGGTAAAACAAGAATACTCACCTTTATAACCTAGCTTCTTTTTCCCTGCCACATCTCTCATGCCAAAAATAGCATCCATGTAACACTGAACTAGATTAGCACCCTGGTTTGGCTCACTGTGCTTCCATTCACATACTAATGCCAAGAAAACCCAGTGGATAAGAACAAATTGTTGACACCTACTGATAACAATAAAGACCTACTCAGATTTAATTTACTTCATAGCCACCAAGTCAGTTCCATGGCATATATGATTTATGAGATTATAATGAGAAAGATGCGTTCCAGACCCTTTTCCCACCTTCAACATCCCCCTGGCAACATTTTCTCCTGCCTTATCCTCTGCTGGACCTTATGTTAATAGCAAACATTCTGGAAAGCACCCTCACATGCTTAACCAGTGAACTCAACAAAAACAGCTGAATATTTTTCTGTTGTTTTAGCAAACATAACTGTCTTATGGAAGTACCAGAAAGACCAACAGCACAGCTTTCCAGGGCAGAAAGAGAAAAAATTTCCCCAGAAAGCTTCTGTACTGTGAGACCACAGCCTTATCATCTCAAATAAGAAACAGAAAAATAAAAACTAAAAAAGAATCCTGAGTATCTATCATTTCACACAGTCCTTAAGAAAACATTTGAAAATGTCACTAGTGAATGTGTTAAAGCACAGCAGTTAACAACTCTCTTCAGCAAGTACAGAAATAGAGATGTAAGGGAGAAGTGCTGTAATTTGCACACTTGCTCACCCCTGAAACAGTTTTCCAGATACCATTGCCATAAACTTCTGCAGAATCTAAGACTTCATTTTTTTTAAAAAAGGCCTTTCAAGTTACAAATAAAACTTTTGACAAAAAAACACCAGAAGACTTTCCTGAATTTACAGAAATAGAAGCAATTATGTGGCACACTGTTTTGCTAAATATGTTGTCACTGTGTTACTGTGATGAGGAAGAGTGTAACCAATGAAAATAAAGCATCACTAGAAAAAGCTGTACTAGAGAGAGAAGGAAAAGTAATATTGCATATAAACAAGGAAAAGCAAGACATTGCTATCAGACTCTCATACAGTAATTACAAGTCTTCCAAAAAGTAAGCAGAATATTCTCTTCCTCACAAAAAAGGGAAAAAATATAAGAGCAGGGTATTTGTGCATTTCTCACCTCATGGCTTTCATAATTTGAAAATAAGAACTAAGGAATACTCACTAATGCAGTTTTCTCTCACATCAGAAACATACACTCACAAAAATTCAAACAAAAACCTGTGAACTTACGTTGTTAGCAAGAATGCTCCATCACTGCACCTTTCTAGAGCTTTCCGTGCTGGAGGTTTTGCTGCAAACTCTACGAAACCTTTTCCTGTAGCTCTGCCACGATCATCTACTACAACAACAGCTCTTTCCACTGGCCCAAATTGAGAGAATGCTTGTTCCAGCAGCTCATTAGAAACCACAGGTGAAAGATTCTTGACTGTTAGGGCAGCTCCATGTGTAGCAAATCGAATTCGAAGTGGTCTGCTCTTCAAAATAGTACCATCAAGTTCAGCCTTTGCTATTTCAGCCAGTGTCCTAGATTCCTTTTTCAAGATATAAAATATTTTATATATTTTATTTTCAAAGACAATATCATTTTTGCTTACATACACACAGTAGCAATTTTTTTTTTCCCTTATCTGATCACACTAAGGATCATTAGACTTTTTTTTCCCCAAAAAAGTAACACCCAAAGTTCCTGTCAACTGATTGAAAAAAAAAAAAAAAAAAAAGCCTTGGCCATCCCGTATGATTTAGTCTAAAAAAATTACGGAGGAGAAAAAATGTGTTGCACATTAGAGGAATTAACAAATTCTCATTTTATATTTGTGCTCTTCTGCAAAGGCTTTCAGCAAAGTTGAAAACTTAATGCTTTTTCACATTTACCTACGCAGATGTTTATATTCTGCATCCCTAGTTCCATATAGTACAAAACATTATTTTCAAAGATTACACTACAGTATCTAAGATGGTTTTGTTTGTTGGGGTGTTTATTTTTTTGTTTGTTTTGTTTGATTGTTTTTTTAAAAATAACCGAAAAGCATCACACTTGCTCATTACCATTATTAGACAAACTCTCAATGCATATCCAGTTCTAATTTCACCAATAAATCATAGGATCATTAAGATTGGAAGGGACCTTAAAACACATCAAGCTCCAACCCCAACCCCCCTACCATGAGCAGGGAACCCTACCACTAGATCAGGTTGCACAAAACCTCATCCAACCTGGCCTTAAAAACCTCCAGGGATGGGGCATCAACAACCTCCCTGGGAAACCCATTCCAGTTCCTCACCACCCGTTTAATGAATAATTTCTTCCTCATATCTAACCTAAATCTCCCCTCTCTCAGTTTAAAACCACTACCCCTTGTCTTACCACTATCTTCTCTGATAAAAAGCCCCTTCCCAGCTTCCCTATAGGCCCCCTTCTCACAGCCTTCTCTTCTCTAAGCTGAATAGCCCCAACTCTCTCAGCCTGTTTTCATAGCAGAGCTGCTTCAGGCCTTTGATCATGTTGGTGGCCCTTCTCTGGACCCTCTCCAACAGGTCCGTATCTTTCTTGTGCTGAGGGCACCAGAACTGTACGCTATACTCCAGGTGGGGTCTCATCAGAGCAAAATCACCTCCCTGGCCCTGCTGGCCACACTTCTTTTGATGCAGCCCAGGATGCAGTTGGCTCTCTGGGCTCCAGCACACACTGGTAGCTCATGTCAAGCTTCTCATCAACTACCACTCCCAGGTCCTTTTCCTCAGGACTGCTCTCCAGTCATTCTCTCCCCAGCCTGTATTTATGTCTGGGGTTGTGCTGACCCAGGTGCAGGACCTTGCACTTGGCCTTGTTGAATTTCATGAGGTTGGCAATGGTCCACCTCTCCAGCCTGTCAAGGTCCCTCTGGATGGCGTTCCTTCCCTCTAGGGTGTTAACCACACCACACAGCTTGGTGTTATCAGCATACTTGCTGAGGATACACTCAATCCCAGCAAATGTCTCCAACAAAGATGTTAAACAGCTCTGGTCTCAGTACAGACCCCTGAGGGACACCACTCGTCACCTGCCTCCTGGTTTGGAGACCAGGATGTCATGTGGGACAGTGTCAAATGCCTTGCACAAATCCAGGAAGATAATGTAAGTTGCTCTGCCACCATCCACCATCTCTGTAGCCTTGTTGTAGAAGGCCACCAGATTGATCAGGCATTACTTGCCCTTTGTGAAGCCATGTTGGGTGTTACCAATCACCTCTTTATTTTCCATGTGCCTTAGCAGACTTTCCAGGAGGATCTGCTCCATGATCTTGCGAGGCACAGAGGTGAGACTGACCAGCCTGTAGTTCCCTGGGTCTTCCTTTTTCCCTTTTTAAAAATAGGAGCTATGCTCCCTTTTTCTCCAATCAGCAGGACCCTCACCAGACTGTCATGACCACTCACTGCCTCACGACACAGAAAGCTTATGAATGTCAGAAGAATGAATACATGAGCAAATAAGATAATTTTATCATTTGTAAACCAGGGGTTTCTGTACCCACACCCATGAGACAGACTGCATCAACAACAGCCTTTTATCTCATATCAGAGATTTTCACTAAGTCTGATACCTGCAATCTCTCACATTTAAAGAAATTGTTCTGTAGATTGTAGCCATTTTCTCCACATTTCAACTGACTAGGTAAACTGTTAAAAATTAACATATTTCCTAAACATAACAGAAAAGGGCAGTTCACATAAAAGCTGTATCTAATCTATATCACATAAAAAACTGAGTAATGACATGTAAATCTATCACACTTTCAACAGAAAATTGCTAATTCAGGCTATTCTCAGGAAAAAAAAGACATATGGCAGAAACTTATCTTTAATGACAACCAAAAAGTCAAAATTCCTAACCAGTAAAATAAATGGAAAAATCGTAACTAGAGACACCCAAAGCACTCTAAAGCTATTCCTACAATGATGTAAATCAGTGCATTTTAGCCATGGCAGTCATGAAAACTAATCCTGCACATTAAATCGACATTTAAATACAGTATCATAAGCTTTTCAATCTGATTCCTTTTTTGGGTGCTCATTTGAGCATATCCAATAGAGTATTATCCCTAAAAAATTTAGTCTTATCTGGACACGAGCAATTTAAACCATCCTAGGTTCCGTTTCTTTGTGATTCATTACAGTTCTGAGATTCCATGTTGTTTTCATGACATGAGAGCAGTGGTATTTTGAAATAATCCTGTCCAGTTCTTTAAATTAACTATGTTTTCATTCAGCAAACCTGTACTCATAATGAACAGCACAGGCTGAAATTTGCTTTTCTGCAAGTATTTTTTCTAGTCCTAAAGTACGATAAATTATCCCAGTTAAACACAGAAAGCCTTTATACAGGTATTACACGAACAAAGCGGATCGCACAACCACATCTTCCACTCGCTGAAGAATTAACAGGCTGCACAAGTTCCCGTGGTAGCAGCACGTAAAACGGTCAATGGTGGAGGGGCCCTGAAAGCAGGGAAGCACCGCGCAGAGGAGGTGGAGGGGCTAGAAGGCTGCTCACAACGCTGGCCTCCAGCTGGGGTCTATGGAGGCAAATAGGGGAGGGGGAGAAGAATGAGGAAGCCGAGGGAACAGCGCTAGCGACAGAGAGAATGAAGAGCAGCTACTGCCTTTTCTTACACCCGCCCGACAAGACTGCAAAGGCTGGGGGCGGGGAAGAGGGGGGCTGGCAGGAGACACGGGTGGACAGGAGTGTCCCGCTTGCCCCCCCTGGGCTACACGGGGCAGCCACAGAGGCTGACGCGAATGCTCACCAGGCGAATGAAGCCAAAGCCACGGTCCCGATTGATGAAGACTTCGCTGGGCTCCCCATAGCGCTCGAAGAGGCGCTTGAAATCCTCCTCGGTGATATCAGTCGGCAGATTCCCCACGAAAAGCCGGCAGCGCTGCGTGTAGCTCTTCTCGCCAGGTTTGAGAAAGCTTTTGATATCGATGGTGAATCCACCCTCCTGCTCCTCATCTCCACCTTCTTTGCTCGGCACTAGCGCCATGGCCGCCGCTGCC